CATGGGAGAATGCTAACAGTGGATAGATTAACCAAATGGGGAATCCAAGTAAGCCCACGATGCAGTTTATGTCAAACTGCAAATGAATCACATCTTCATCTGTTTGGTGAGTGCAGCTTCTCCAGAGTAGTATGCTTGAGATTACTGAGATGGCTATAAATATGGGATTCCCCGATGAATCCTTGGTCACAGATGGTTACATGGTTGATTCTCCAATCCAAAGGAAAGTCATCCAAAGCAAGAATATTGAAGATGATGTATGCAGAATACATTTATGGGATTTGAAAAGAGAGGAACAACAGAATATTTGAAGATCATTTAAGGAATGAAGAGCAAATAGCAAGAGAAGTGACACACATATGCAACATTAGAGCACAAGGGGTAGTAAGAACAAAAATGCAGCAATTTCAGTTCTAAAAAGACAAAGAGCAGCAATTACAAAAGACCAAAAGATAATGATAGTTATAAAAGTCCTTATGTACTGCATATAGTATAGTTATAGTGATAGAAGAATGGAAAGATTATAGCAAATCGAGGATGACTTTGCTAGTTTGAAATGATTGCTTTGGTGATTAACGGACAATATATTACCAAAAAAAAAAATATCAAAGAGCACATCCGATCCCTATGGCATAAACAAAATGCAAAAGAAAATATGAGACAACTCTACAGTAGTACAAATTTAAAAAATAGTAAGAAAATTTAGAATACGTTGTTCCTTTTAAATTTGTTCGCCATGCATGGTGAAAAAAGGAGTGGATCAATTGCTCGTCATTTTAAAATTTTGAAGAGACTTACTCGAATCTCCTATTCGATTGAATCATTATGTTCCATAATCTTCATCATATCATATTACATCTGGTTAACTAAAATTTACTATGCTACATATTCATGATAATCAACAAATATAACAAATTCATCCAGTATATATATATCTCTGGAAATATAGATATTAGGTTGTTAAATATTCAAAATAAATTTTTTCTTAAATAAATTAACACCATTCCTAGACAGTTAGCAGTATATGATATTATTCAAGGATTACTTTATGCAAAAAGTAGATGCTATGGATCTTTAAAATATTTCGATAAAATAAATATCTTCGACGATTTTTAGATATTCAAATAAAATTTCCTCTCACACCTAATATACCATTTCTTACTGATATATTATTAACACACAGAGACACACACACACACAAAAAAAAAAAAAAAAAAAAAAAAAAAAAGAGGACACCACTTCATAGTACTAAATAACAGTAGGAAGTGCTTTCTAGCCCAAATTTGCATAATCATAATATGTACATTTCATGAATACTCATGGAAAGTAACAAAACTAAAATTAACTTACTTGAGTGGAAACTTGTAGAGGATTTGGGGTTTGCAGGAAGTGAACATGTAAGCCTATTAAAACTTACAAATTTTCCTACGGGAAGTAAAATACTTCATGTGATTCCAAAATCCATTTATATAATCTGATCAGGAGCGGCCCGACGAATTTTATGGTCTAAAGCCAAACTTTATGAGAGGTCTTAATTTATTTATTTATTTGAAGTCTATTTTTTTAGCTTTTCTTAGATACAAAGTTATTAATAATTTTCATATAATCAATAACTCATATAAAGTATTTCTCGGTTGACAATATAATTAATCCATTTAACCTTTCTTGTGACATTGTTGTTCTTAGGTAAGATTTTATCAATTTTAATTTAGAAAACTTCTTTCCGCTAAAGTAACGGTAACATGAGTTATTAACATTATTTCATAAGCAATTTAGGCATTTGGAAAAGAATTAAATCTTTTTATTTGATTAAGTGTATCATTTAAACTGCTATCTTCTAATTGTACTATTTTTCTTAATACTTTTAATTCAGAAAATAAATCTAAATCATCAATATCGAATTGATTATTATGCTTTAAGGAACATTCAAGATTAAGGAAATATTTTTTAAAATTTTCAACATCTAGTTATCCTAGTTTTACTGCCAAATAGAAAACCAAAAATATTTTCATATACTTCGAATTGTTCAAATCTATTTTGAAGTGAAAAATTATCCTTGTCTATTATGTATAAAAGTAATCAAACTCTTCGAAAGATTTTGAGATTTTATTATCAATATTCGCAACAAATTGTTACTTCCTATATACCACATGTTTCTTACGAAATTCAGGTTCGATATTCATTTCAAGTGCAATTTCCTTGGAAGAAATCATAGCAGTTGCAAATCTTTCTTCTCTATATTTGTTAAAGAAAAAAATCAAACTTTTTCACTTTACAGAACTCTTTTTTAAACTTATATAGAGTCTATTAGGCATAACAAAAAATGGGCCCCTCACAAATATGTGGCCTAAATTGGTTGCTTTACTTGCTTTATGGAAGAGCCGCCCTTGAAGCTTATGCTTGCTTTGAATTTAATATTGAGTATGTGGAAACCGATGATTTTCTTCAACTGATGGGATATATATATATATATATATATATATATATATATATATATATATATANATTAGTATATTAATGCAAGTTCAAAATAATACAAATAGTGAAAAATAAAATTATATCCCTAGTAAATAAATAAATACTTAACATATTTCCTTTTTTATAAATAAATATTTAATTTTATTTTATAATATAGGTAGACAAATAAAATAATTATTTTAAAACTTTTTCATATAAAAATATTTCTCAATATATGTTTCTTTTAAAAAGTTAGAGCGTGGACTAGTTTTGAGGGCATTTTTGTAAACAAACAATTCTTTTAGAAACTGTGCAATGCTTTAATACATCAAACCAAATAATGGATAAGAAATATGTCAGCATAACTAATACCAGCATAACTAATGCAAACATAACTAATACCAGCATTACTAATACACCCTATTCAGCATTATTCTTATGCACCCTACCAAACGACCCCTTATAGTAATTGTTCTACTCATTAAAATGTTTGAGATGTTATTGTAATTTTGAAAGTAAGAAGAAATAAACTGCTCAAGCTGAGAAAATCAAAGGCCTTACTAAAGTCCAACATATCAATATGTAAAAATAGCACGGGCTAGTCAGTTTTCTGACTGGTCATCAAAAATAGCCAGTGTTTGCAAAGTCATTAAAAAATAGCCACTATTTTGCTGCAAAACGAAAAGTTCCAGCATAATATACTAGAGATCGGTGCACCTATGTATGAACTTCCAGCATATTATGTTGGAACTCCAACACGCGGAAAGTTTCAATATAATATACTAGAAATTAGAGTACATGTGTATGAACTTTCAGCATATTATACTGGACCGATATATTATACGAGAACTCCAATATATTATACTGGAACTCCAATATAATATATTGGAGTTCCAGTATACTTATGCTGGAACTCCAGTATAGTTCCAGTATATTATACTGGAATTTTAGTATATTATGCTGGAGTATTTTCCAGATTTTAAATATTACTTTCGTTCAGATTTATCTTTACATGAAAAGTGGCTAAATTTCGATTACTTTTAAAACTGGGGCTATTTTTGAATGATCACTTGTAAATCTGACTTTTTTAAATTTCTCCCGTTCAATATGGACCCACATTTGTCCCATTTTAGTTTATTAATTTATTTTTTGTTTTATTATAATTACATTAAGTGCTTGAATGTAGACACATGAATTTCACACTAATCTCGCATTTAATTAATTAATTAATTAATCATTTACGGATAGAGGGAAAACTCACTATTCGGTACAGGAGTAATGATTAGATTAGGGCTAAAACTGTCATTCAACTATTGATGGCTATTTTGATCTTTTGAGTTTCAATTTAGGCCTTCCCACTTATAATATAGTATGATGAAAGGAATTTACCACTTAATTTAATTAAATAAAATAGATAGCATATTCTTTCTTCGTAGGTTACTATCTTTAATATCTGGAGCTTTTTAGGTCCAAATGCCATTCTTAGACCATCTCCAATCTTGCGCCAACTGTTATGCCAAATGCTATTTTGGTATAAGATTTGGTGTTTTGGTGCTTCAATCTAACACCATTTTAGTTTGTGAATAATATTATACCAAATTTGGTATAACATTATTCATCAACACCATTACTATTCAACAATATTTTGTTATTATCTTTTCTTCTTTTTTTTATAATTAAAGGATTTTTATTAATCACCAAGTGAATCATTACAAAATCATACCTGACTTCAAACTCAGTCAGATGTCTCTATATTGTAACTATCTCTCCCTGTACATCAGTTAAACCTCTCACCTCACCTTTTAACTATTAAATCAACTAACACTAATCATTATTCAAAATTTTAACTGCTGCAGTAGTCTCCTAGTTCCAGCATTAGCTCTAACATTATATATGCATGCTATAGTTCTTGCTATTTCATCTATATCTCTACTGGCCTTCTCAAATACTCGATTGTTTGTTTCGCACCATATCATGTGGATTATCTCAACATATATCATCTTGAAGGCAACAACTGCTTGAGATTTTCCTTTAGCCTTATCCATTGCACATCTCCAATGTTGGTTCCATGATTTCAGACCATGTGGTTGCATCTGAAGCCATATTAGAACCATGTTCCATATCTTTTGAGCAAAGACACATTCCACAAAGAGATGGTTTCTGCTCTCATTATGCAATTGGCACATGACATATACTGTTTCTATGGCATACCCCATTGCACGAGTCTATCACTTGTAAGTAGTTTGTTTTGAAGGAACATCCACATAGTAAACTGAGTTTTGGCTCTTGCTTCATTTCTGAACATGAAGGTCTTCCATTCCACTCTAGGTAGTTGTCCTAGCATCTGGTAATAGAGTTGTCTGATCATGCTACATTTTCCTTGAGCCATTGTCTAACTTAGGTCCACTATCTCCCTTGCTCCAATCAGCTTTCTGACCAGAAGAAGCCTATTGAAGAATTGGCATGTCATTTAGCTGTTAGTTTTATATATAATAGGAATGGATCCACCTAACCCACATCTTGTCCACCTTATGTGCATGATCCTAGTGATTTTTAGCAGCAACAGCCATATTCCAAAGTTTCAGGTTGATGAGATTTAGACCTCCTGCACTCATAGGTGTACACATTTTCTCCCAAGTCACAAGTGATCTTCTTGTGATAACATTATAACCAGACCATACATAACTCCTACAGTAAGCCTCTATTATTTTGATAAATTTGCTTGGGATTAAGAATAATTGTGACCAATAAGCTTGTATACCAAACATGACTGATTGTACTAGCTGAATCTTTCCTGCATAAGATAGTTTTTTTGCTGTCCAGGAGGAGATTCTAGCTACCGTTTTCTCTATCAGAGGTTGCCATTGAGCAAAGGACATCTTCTTAGTTGATAAAGGCACTTCTAAGTATTTTACTGGGAGTTCACCTCTGGAGTAACCAAATATTTGTTGCATCTCATCTTTCACTACTTGTGTAACACCTCCATAGTAGATAAAGCTCTTAGTCTGATTAGCTTGTAGTCTTGAGGCTCTATAAAATTGGTTAAGGCATTGTTGAAGCTGAGTAACATAAGGTATATCACCTCTTGCAAATAGGAGCAAATCATCAGCAAAACTGAGATGTGTAATACCTAGCTTTGAACATCTATGGTGATATTTATACTCCTTATCCTTTTGAAATCCTTTAAGGCTTCTACTCAAGTACTTCATTACAATTGCAAATAGGAAATATGAAATGGGATCACCTTGTCTCAGTCCTTTAGCGGCTAGGAAAGGAACTGAAGGCTCTCTATTCACCACAATTGAGTAGCTCACAATCTTAACACAGGTTAGAACCCAATCCTGAAATCTTCTAGGGAATCTTAGCTCAATCATGACCTGCTCCAAAAAGATCCACTTCACATAACCATAGGCATTGGTCAGGTCTATTTTGATCATTCATCTAGGAGAAGTATTCTTCCTTGTATAAGCTTTGATAAGCTCATGAGCCAAGATGATGTTGTCTGCAATTTTCCTCCCAGAAATGAAACCACCTTGTGCTTCAATAATGATGTTTGCTATAACTTTCTGTAATCTATTTACCATCATCTTTGAGATGATCTTATATAGTACCGAGCAACATGCAATATGTCTGAAATATCTTGTTATTGTAAGATTGCTTACCTTAGGTAGCAGTGTAATTGCAGTGCAATTTATGGCTTTATATAGCTTACCGGTAGTGAAGAAATCCTTAATTGCTCTCACTACATCACTTTTGATCATTGACCATGCTCTTTAGAAGAAGCGAGAGATATCCATCCACTCTAGGGGCCTTATCTTCATGTATTGCACACAATGTTGGATATACCTCTTCCTATGTTACTTCCACACATAAGCTCAACTGTTGTTCATGAGTGAGTTTAGGTCCATTTTTCATAGTTTCCTTGCTGATAGCAGGCAAAGATGCAACAACATTTCCCATTAAGCTCTTATAAAATTTAACTATCTCCTTTTTAATGCTATTAGGAGTAGTCATTTTCATTTCGTCATTAGTGTATATCTCTAGTATCTGTTTTCTTTGACTTCTCTCCTTCATGACAACAGATAAGTACTTAGTATTGGCATGTCCAAGCTTGATCTATTTCACTCTAGCCTTCTGTTTGAGGATACTTTCCTCAATAAGTGACCATTTCTCCAAGTTCTGTAGGATAGTCTTCTCTTATAGTAGCATATTATCTGATTATTGTATCCTCATTTCCTCTTGAACTTGAATAAGATCAGCCCTCGCATTCTCAATTCTCTCAACAATGCCCTTATACTCATTAGTATTAAGGCTTTTGAATAGAGTTTCAGAGCTTTTAGTTTCTTCCAAATGTTCTCCGTTTGATTTTCAGTTTCATTTCTTCTCCATAGATTGCCAACAATTGTATCAAACTCATCATGGGAGGCCAATACATTAAAAACCCTAAAAGGAGTTCTAATGCTAAGTTTCACAATTTTTATATTGACGAGCATTGGAGAGTGATAAGAGATTAAAGGTATATCATATTCTGCGTACACATGACCCCAGTTCATCACCCAGCTATCATTGCCAAAGATCCTATTAATTCTGCTCACAATCCTTTCTGCCCCTGTTGATTATTGGACCAGGTATAGTAATCTCTTTTCCATGGTAGTTCATTCAGTAATAGATTGTGTATGCAATCAGAAAAGTCAGTAATTTCATTTAGTTTCACAAGGTTGCCATACATCCTGTCTTGTGTATATAGCATAACATTAAAATCACCACCTATCAGCCATGGTTTGTTTGTGTGTGCAGAGATATCAGCAAGACTTGTCCATAACTCCTTTCTTTGATCAACCATATTGAAGCCATATACCAATGTTAGATATGATTCAATCCATCCAATCTGCCTTTAACTAGGCAGTGTATAATATGAGCCTCCACTTTTTCAACATTAATACTATACACATTTGGATCCCATGTGAGCCATATTCTGCCATTCACAGCTTCCGGTAGTTACATTGCAATGTCCATCTAAGGCTGTATTCTGGGTCGGGTTAGGGCCTAAATGGGCTAAACGGGCTAGTCCAAACGGTCCCGAATAGTTGGAACCGGCCCACTGTGGGCTAAACCCACATGGTCCCGGGCTAAATGGGTCGGGCTCACGGGCCTAAGTGTTTCGGGCTTTTTTTTTTGAATTTTTTTTATCTAAGGCATTTTCTTGTAAACTATATATATATATATATATAATATATATAAGCTATATTATCAAATTTAAATATAAAATAAACAAGGGAATGTCTTATAATTTATAGTTTATATGTATTAGTCCAATCCTGATTTGTGAGGTGCTCATCATCATCATCATCATCACCACCAACACGAGCATTATACGTTGCGTTTATTGGGTTTCTATATTCATATGCAACAACTAAACTTTCATACATGTAATTCCATCTAGTCGAACAAGGTTTAGGAACCTTTCTTTCTCTAAGGCCAAATTCATCACTTTTTTAAAATATTTTCTAAGTTTACTTCTACGGTTTGAATAAAAAAGCCAATTAAGAGCCATTTTAACCTTTTCAATTTCCACATTTAAAATTTTCATACCATCACCGACTATTAAATGGTAAATATGATAAATAAATCTAACATGAAAAATATTACTAAATGCAGGATTTAGTGTAGTTGTAAGCAAGCCTATAGCATTAGTGTTACTAGAAGCATTATCCATTGAAACCGATATTGTTTTATCTCTAACGCAAAAATATCTACAAATATCTGCAACTCTGTTAGCAATAAACTTACCTGTGTGGCGTGAATTAATTATTCTATAAGCAATAATGCGCTTTTGCATTATCCAGTCCTTATCTATCCAATGACTTGTAACAGTTAGATAATCACAGTCATTACCACTTCTACCAATATCAATAGTAATAGCAATGCGACAATCTACATGAGTAAATAAATAGCGCAAATATTGTTCATATTCATATTTATATTTATATTTATAAATATCGCTCTTTACGGTTGTGTGAGGTCATCCTTTATAAGTAGGATTAAAACTCTTCTAACATAATGCACAAAGTGAGAGTTAGAAGGAAAACTATAGGGTAAGCATATAACAGTAACCATTTTTGTCAATTCTTCATGATCTTTATTTGGATCATAATATAAAATGGCATCGGTAACAGTGTTAATTTTTAGTTGAACTAGATTTGACCTTGTACTAGGATTAACCTCAGTATCTAAACTTCTACACTCTTGCGCATCTTTCATTGGTAAATATCTAGCTTTATCTCTAGGGTGTTTCTTTATGTGTCTAGTCAAAGTACTCGTACTGCTACGGTCTCCAGTATATTTATGAGCTATCAAAGACCCATAAGTTTTACACTTAGCCTTATTTTGTTCTCTTAGTTGAGTAAAAAAGTGCCAACAAGAGATGTTTCGGTCCGTTTACAAGGTTGTCTATTAAAAGTAGGGGTTACTACAAGAGGGTCAGGCGGGGCATCATTTAGATTATTATCAGTTGGGTTATTAACAGGCCTAGTAGGTGTATCATCTAAATCCGGTTGCGTTTCATCTAAATCATCATTTTTCTCATCATTTTCAAAGATAGTTTGATTAGGATAAAGAGCATTCATAATTTCATCATTTAATTGTTGACCTGGTGCAACATCATGGCAAAATTCACTATCGAAAAATTGAAAACAAGGGTTATCACTATCAAGAATAACAGGTGGAGGAGGACAGGTAACAGGTCTGGGTCAGGGAGTCGGGGGAAGAGTAGTAGCTTGGCGACTAGATTCACCAATTTTAGATTTTCCCTTACCCTTACCACCAAATATTTTTTTCAAAGAAAAGTCCATATTAATTATAAATTATACTAACTAAAACAAACAAAACTATAATATTAAAACTTTAGAGTTGGAACGAGTTTACCGAATTGACGAACAACTTCTTGAAAATTGAATATCGTTGAAGACTTGAATACTTCAATTCACCAACTTCACAATTTTTCACGAAATTGCAATAATAAAGTAAGCAATTATAAAAGAAAATTAGAGAGAGATTGATGAATTTGTGAGTAAAAATGAAAGAATGAGGGGTATTTATACTTGAGAATAGGGAAAAAGTGTAATTATAAAAAGCTTGGGGGCCAAATGGCTATTTTTTAAAAAGCCAAACGGCTAAAATTGCAAACAAACGGCTACTTTTTAAATTTCAGACCGTTGGCCTTTTTTTAAAAAAAAAATATTTTTTTTTAGAAATAGTCGTTGGGCCCGTTTGGCTGGTTGAACCGGACCAGGCCCGTTTGCCGGTCCCGGGCTAAACGGTCCCGGGCTCGCGGGCTGTTTGGTGAGGACTGGCCCACAGTGGGCTTTTAGTACCGGCAGGGACCGGCCCATTTGCTAGTGGTTCCGGGCTGGGCCCCGCCCACAATACACCCTTATGCCCATCCTAGTACTATATTATTGATAACTCTCTTCACATTTGGTTCTTTGACTCTAATCTCAAGCAATCCAGCTAGTTTGATATGTTTATTCTTCATGTATGTTAAGAGCTCTTTCTGCTTTTACCTCTTGTTTACACCCCTAACATTACACACCAACTAAGTCATTGAGATAGGGAACCTACTTTCTGCTGTATGTAGGTTATTATTACTCCTTAATCCACCTGTTATCTCTAAAGTTCTAGTGTTCCTCTGCATGCTAGCTGCCAGAGCTGGAAATTCTCTAGGAGAACTAAGTTCAGGGCTTCTATGTTCTTGCTCCTCCTCTCTGATGCTTTCCTTAGCATGTCCCTAGCGATCATCTGGTCCTCCCTAACAAGTAAACTCATTTGCCTCTGTCCAGTTTCTTGTTGATAATGTTCATCAGTTGTGGCTTTGGTAGTTACCATAAGCTCAGCTGCCTTACTATTCTTGTCAACAACTACTTTTGTTCTCCACTCATATTACCTTTGGAGGTCCAACATCTATATGTGTTGGTTGGGCATTTTCTCTTGGTCTTCTCCTTCTCCTTGGCTGCATAAAGTTCTGATTCTCAACTTCTTTTTGCTTGCAGCAGTGACTTATTATTAAGCAAACCTCACATAATTCTGGTTTCCAGTCGTATTCAATCGATTGTTCAAATTATCTCCCATCTAGTTCCCACACTAAGACACTAATAGGAAGTGGCCTTGTAACATTTATTTCAATGAGCATGCGAGCATAGGAAATCCGATCTTGTTTTGAGGTACACTCATCAACATACAATGGTTTTCCTATTGCACTAGCAATCTTACTCAGTGATTTTCCTTCCCAGCAACTCATGGGTAGGTTTGACAATACCACTCACGGGGGAATTTCCTGCAGGAACACCTTTGTGAAATCAAAATTTACAGTTTATGGCTTCAATATCATCGATTTATTATTGATTGTATAAGATCCAGAATATAAGATTTCCTGATTGTCACTTGTAGATTGAAATTTGATAACATAATATCTTTCATCATGGTAAAATACCTCTGGTTCAGCCACTCCATTCCAACTCTGTTTCACAAATCTATGCATATAGGTATACCCCTGTGTCTCTCCAATTACATACACAATCAGTGCACTTTTCCATTTTTGGATTTCTCTATCAACATCATCATTTTCTAGTTGAACTACAACTTTTCCCTTAACAATTGCAGGAGGGATGTAATCTAATTTTAAACCATTTTCTGAGCTACGATTACCTGCAAAGAGGGATGTCCATGCAATTGATTTCTCCTTGTTCTTAATTGTTGGTTCCAGATCTGAAATGCCCTTACTTGTACTCGCCTGATCTGTTGACTTCACTGGTGTAATCTCCTTTCGCACACTTAGAGATGTGCTATTACTCAAGTCCAGTCTCTTAGCAGTGTGTTACACACTCAATTCCTCCTGTTTTTGCTTCAAATTTGACTCAATCAATGGAACAGGAGCAGTCGCGGATTGTGCCAACTTTGGTGGACGTACATTTAACTAACGTGCGTTGAGGGCATGTGTGCTAGAAATGATTCTTTTA